TGTTTGAGAGACCAATATGACCATTTGAACCAGTTCTGGTCTTCCCGAAATACATAAGTTAGAGTATTTTCTCCATCTTACCTTACACGCGACTCAGTTATATTTATTATTTAGAAAGTTATTTGAAGATGCGACAACTTTGGACATTTGGATTTCCAGTGATGCATTACATTTGAATAAAATCCAATCCAAAATGAAACGTTCTTTGTGATTCAATTGACCGACTTTTCATTTTCAGATACCAATAAGGGATCACACAGATCAAGATCTTCGAGTCAAATTAACTTCAGCGGGATCTGAAACACACGATTGGTAGCTTTTGTCAATTTTAAAAATGCTAAGCAATGTATTGCCCGTGGAACGTACCATTCCATATAAAGATATCGTGATATAATTATTCGTAATAGTTCTATATTTCAATAGATGATTTAAATTACACTGCATAAAACTCTTTTTTCCAGCGATTCGAGGTGGAGAAGTTGAAACAAGAGATAGAACGTCTGGTAAGTTAATAGAGTAATAAAACTACGCAATAAGAATTTTTTTTTTCAGCGAAAGAATCTTGTTCATTGTGAAAAATGAGATTCAATTTTCGAGTCATGATTTATTGCGTATATTCGGCAATAAGATCTCAGTATGATTCGACTCGTCCGGTGATCGACTACTTTTTGAGAATTTCCAAGAGAATATATTAATCGATTTTTTAGAACAATCGCAGCATTTGGCAAGTCTTTCGCGACAAGTTACCATGTTGCTGTCGAGAACATTGATCCTGGCCAACAATCATTATATGCCAATATCAGTATTTGCCGTGACACTAATTTGACGAGACAGCGAACTCTTATGATGTACAAGATCTCTTTTCACAACAGATATGTTAGTAAGTATCGACTTACACGGTCTTGTGGACAACTCAACAATGTCCGGAATCAAGAAGGCAATAAGAAAACCATATTTAGTTGAAAACAGTAGTTGCTTGCAGGAGAGCATCCTCTTACATGTTGTTTGGATGGATATAAACTGAATTGAGCTGATGTCGCTACTATTAGGGGCTGGGCATCTCGAATCAAATTATAAATTATTCAAATCGGTTCAGACAAAAAATTCGAGTCGGCGCGATATTTTTTTTGTTTTGTTCTCTAAAGGTCGAGATTGATTCCTCAATTTTCTTATTGAAGCAATATTTTCAGAATGAAATTCTGACATATGACTCCCTTCTCCCTGGTGAGTTATTGACGAAACATGTTTCTTGTTATGTGTCAACACTCAGTGATGGAATCTATGTTTTCAGTAATTTATGTCATCACAATAAAAAATTACGTACAATCAAATATATTCCAACTATTCAAGATTCCTTACTGTGCACAAAATGTGCAATGAATATTTTCGATCTTTCATTATTACATTTCAATCTTGGGTCATTTACTTCTGGCTGCACGAATTAACTCTGACGTCTATATCTTGTATTTTAATATTTTTAACCTAATGAAACTTGAATAATGTAACACAGTTAGACAAGTATTTGAGATTAAAAAAAAAAGGTTTTACATCTCATCTATTTAAAAAATACATTGTCATTGCACAGTCTGGTTCCAGAAAAATGTTTCCAAAAATTAATATATATTTCATGTAAGTTGAACAAGCATATGTTTGTTTTGCTTCAGTTTCACATGCAATGAACTTAGAATTAATCCGAACCCCGAAACGTTTCTCACTTAGTGGAATTCCTTCTTCATTTTACTTTTAGTAATATTAAAATCTTATAATTGAAAATCTTATGGTTATTTTCCGTGCGTATGTTATATGAACTGACTGTTATATGACTTTATGCTGATCTTTTGAATTTGCTACAATTTAAACTAGGTAGTTTATTATTCTTGTAGTGTTGTTGTTATTGGCTTTGTGTTGATGAGTAGAATAACATTGAGATCCTATATAATTTGCAGGTCATCCACCAATTATTTTCCGTACGCGTCTCATAAAATCTGAATTGCTTATATTTTGAATTGAATATGAATTTGAATATGATACAAACAAACCCAGCGCTATTATTCACTGTGTATTAGAAAATAGAAAGTAATGATGCTAAAAATTAAAAAAAGGTGTTCGATTGAAACCCAGCAAATGCAGCATATCTTATATTAAAATTATTACCAACTTTCTGAGTTGCGTTATTATAAATTGCAAAAAATACAAATATAGTAAGAGTAAAGTAGCAGAGATGTTCAAGTATTATACATACTTAGTGCGATTACATCACAAATTACCCTAACGAATAACCTTATGTTACAGAAACAATAATATTAAAAGATTCATAGTTTGTTCAATTTATTTCAGAATATTTATCATTATCGTAAATATGCAAACTTATTAAGACTTCATACAAACAAACAAAAAAAAACTGTATTTTTGTGTTTTGAAAATGCATGTTTTTATGTCATTGTGTTGCACATACAGTTATTGTGTGTACTATTGTAACAGTATGAAAAATTTAGAAGTTTTAAATCTAAAATGTATTATATAACTATTACATTAGATTAAAAATTAAATTGCCTAAAAAGTATTGATTACAACTTAAATCAGGGGTGTGCAACATTTATTACAGGAGTGCCAGATACAAGTAATTGGTAATTTTCATTCAGTATTTCTCTGTTCTTTCTCTTTTCTAAGATTAAATATAAAGAATAAAACAGCAATGCACCCAATATAAAAGCCAATCAAGGTGAATTGGACTCGTACAGTGGATACCACAAGTGCACGCTTTCCTATACTGTAGCATAAATTCAAATTAATACGCGCTAATCTAGAATCCGAGATGCAAAAACTCAAAAATACTTCGCCGAGGTTATTTTTCCTTTGTGACGTCACAATAGTCCCGCGGTAACAATGATAATTCATTATGACGAAACAATTGCACAAATGTGCATGTCATACTAAATCTCCATTTTTATGGGGTTCGGAATTCTCAAAATAAAATCTGAGTTAACAGACAGGTGCGCAGCATTACATAAATACCTATTTTATAAAAAACTCAAAATCGCCAAAAATGACTTACGCAATTCGGTTATTAGCGTGACGATATGTATTTGTTCCGGTTTTCAACCATTATTCAAATTTATACAAATATTATGTCCGAGTTGTGTGGAGGATTAGAACGGATTAGGGCATTTACAGATATAATGCGTTTCTACTTACTTACGGAAGTTTCTTCTTACGAAATTGTTTATTTTTGTTATTGATCTTGCAACTTTGTTAGGGGTCATTGCACAAATGTTGAGAAACGCAAAAAATCTAGAGAAAACTGCTATTCAAATTTATTGTCACACAGACTTTAATTAAACGAATTCAGTGAGATACACGCTTTTATAACATTCTGTATTTTCCAACATAATTTTGCTAGCTGGTTTTGCTAAAATGACAGTGGCACTCAGGTACTGGTATAGGCTTCGCGACGAAAAGAGATTGAAATTGCTCGCACAATTAAAACTAAAATAAAATCACGTTTCGCGGGCACATCATTCAAAATTGACACTTTCCGCAATTTTCTTCGCGGGCCGCAGTTTGCACACCCCTGGCCTAAATTCTCGATTAATGTTTGATTCTTGAAAGAGATGATCAATTCTTTCAAGCAAATGATGTGTCATTGAAATGGAGTTTTACTAGTACCTCACGCAGAAATTCGAATCATGGGGGTAGCGAAGAAATAAGTCTTTTTTCGAGTTTGATTGAAAATGATCAATAATTTAAAATCCTTTTAAATCTCATCTCTCTTCCAATTTCTTTTTTAAAATGAATGCTCGCTTTTCATTTTGAGGAATGTATAATACAATGCCGTCAGCTCGTCGAAATGACCTAAAGTAACCCCCTGAATATAAAAGGCCCGCTCACGTCGATTCGGTGACAAAAAATAGTTTGGCATCAGTCAGAGATCACGCCACATAGCGCTCGTCGCTTCCAAAGAGGCCCATAATGAGAGGTTAAAAGCTCTGACGTAGTTTATAAACTTCATTGTGTTTCAAGATGCTCTTATGCTATACAAGGGCGATCGCTGTGAATTTGTAGATTGATTCGGAGTTCGACAATGCGCTCTTATAACAGCAGACATCCCTCTGATTAATATAGCTGATTTTCTTTAATAGCCTATAAAAAGAAAGTGGCCTTGTCGCGGAGGTTCGACTTTGTCATTGCTATTTTCGGTAAATTCGGAAATCGCGTATTAGCTATCACATTGCAGTCTTTTAGTAATTGACCCCAGTGTATATGCCAGCCAAAAGAATATGTCTACATGGTGGATTGAATTGTATGACGTTTGATCTACAGCGCGCCATTGTTTGAAATATGTTCACGTGCTAATCGGAACAAAATTAACGACCCGTGTTGAGTTTACAGAGTACGGAAATTCTTCGGACGCTGACTGGGCCGATGGTGGAGGGTGGTGCCATATTCTTTGAAATGAGACGATTAAAGCGAGGTTCGATTATATAGTAAGGTTACATCGAGTCACAAGTGCTTTTGTAGTATTTATTGACATAACCAATTCACTGATGATTGTCCTAACCCCTTCCACGCTTGAAAAGATATGTATTTTTAGAACTCCTGTGTTGTGGTAGTAACATGCCTATGGGCTTATTCAATATTCAGAGTGTGGTAGAACCGCTTATTTTGTTGTTATAATACAGTGAAATAAGAATTTAGTATTTTTGGTATTGTGCGAAAATCGTCCTTTTTCGTCGTACTGCATCAGGTTTCAGATTTGGTATGATTATTCTAGAAACTCGGGCATGATTCTCGATCTATATCCTACTATTTGTTGATATATTTCTGAAATAAATGCCTTTGAATTTGATGTTACAACGTAAAAGATTTTTAGCAGGTTGAGATTGTAGCAAAGTACGTCCCAGACACTTGTGTATATTTTGTCAACGGTCAAACCGAATTGTGTTGAATAACCATTTTAAACTACTGTTTAAATAACAGAACTTTAATTCATATACTGTTTGTTAATTAAGCCATAGACTTGTTATAGAATACATAGCTTTGGTCTCACTACCATGTTGTCGTATTTTATAATATGGTCTCTTGTACTACTTGATCTAACATGCTCCGAGCCAATGGGGGGTTTGGAAGGCAATGTTGAGATTGAGTTAAAAAGATCCAAACGACTTTCCAAAGACTCCACATGTTCAGCTCTTTGGCCACAATGCATCTGCCGCAGTCGAAAGCATAAGGAACAAAGTTTAGTATGCTTAAAGAAAGATTGCTTAGAAAAGCTTCCGGCGGATGAAATACCAGATTCACATATCAGAGAAGTCGTAAGCTTGCTTGTAGTAAGGTAACGTTACTGTTTGCTTCATATAGAATTTTTTGGAAAGTAGACAATTTGGAAGTCATTTTCATGTAATCTAGCAGCGCTCTTTGAAGTTTTTGGAAAGTTTCCATCATATCAAAAATAATGATATTGGATTCTGTATTTGTATAAAAGTACTAAATAAATTTTGGTTTATAGATATCCAGATCGTGAATACAAACAATCTGATTTGTTTGTAACCCATCAAAAATAAATTTTAAAAAAAAGCGGCCATGATCACATTTGAAATTCACGAGTGATTTCAGCCGCTCCCATTGCGACATCAATTATTTAATCAAACGTCGACAACATAAGGCAGATCTAATTTGACAGTTTGACTTAATCTTGTTATTGACAACCTGAAGACACTTGCGGAAATAAAATAGAATTAGGGCACAAAAAATAGTATATTTCACTCAGGTCGTAGTGTTTAGCGATATATTATAATTTTGAAAAATATTTTTTATCTCGATAGTCTCAATTCATTTTTGTGTGAAAGTGAAATTTGAAAAAATGGACGATTTCTATGTTTGTAAATGGCCATGTATGGTATTTATTTGCTTCTCTTAGTCCTATTGAAACGGCTCATACAACGAATTGTCATGTTAAAAATAAAACAAAATTGCAATTTTTGTATCGCAACTACTAGCTACACAAACACATTTATGCCGAAAATATAATATACTACATTACAATAAACTACGTATATGTTTAGTTTTTTTTATCCATTTGAAATCGAAAGTACTATTTTTAACGTTGCAGGCAAAGAAATCTGACACGGATCGGTTCCGAAGAATTACGGCGACTCGGTAATATACGTCATATAAGAATATTTCGATGTAGTATACGTGAAGTTGCTAATAATGCATTCATCGGACTCAATCACGTTGAAAGGTATGAAAATTTTGCAACTCTTTGAAATTTATTTCGAATAAGCCGTGAATCTTGCCAAGAATATGGTTTTTAGTCTACCTTTTCGTATAGTCGAATTGATCACTTGATACGTTGAATTTTGCTTAATTTTGTTTGTATTAAATGGACGAACGATTTTGAGACAACGCCCGTTTTAGGTCTCTTTATGTATTTTTATTTAGTTTTATTGAGCCACCCACGCTAAATGCACTTAAAAAGACGTTGAATGCGACCGATAATGTAATTTTATGGGTAAACCGAAGCACGTATTTTGCCAAAATCGATTACTATATATATCAACCAATGTAGTCTAAAATTTTTGCCGTTTTTACCATGATACTTTTGCCATTATAGTTGTCCGTTTATGAAAATACGGGGATTCACAGAAAATAAAAATTATCATTGTATTTAAGATAACAATTTATATCCGATATATCAGGATAACTGATCATTTTCAGTCGTGAAAAGAGCTGCATGTGGAAAGCAAAGACGATTCTTATCGTTTATAATGCAAAGCAATGAATAAGATGATTTTAGACTAGTCTTCGCTACATATGTTGGTACACATCTCATATACATAATGTATGTGTATGGAAATCTAACATAGGGGCAAAGTAAACAAAATTTAAGTCCGCACGCTACAACCCGGAATCCTTGGTAAGACTATGTAAAAGTCATCTCAACTTATGCGACCGGAATTGACAAAATATTTAAAATTGCAACGTGACAGCTTACATATCGCCACGCTAATAACCGAATTGCGTAAGTCATTTTTAGCAGTTTTGAGAAAAACGTAAAAAACCTCCTAATGAAATTGTTATGCCATTGAGAGTATATATATTTCAATAATATAACACGTTCTGCACACCCACCAAAATAAGACTAAGATTAAATATAAAGAATAAAACAGCAATGCACCCAATATAAAAGCCAACCAAGGTGAATTGGACTCGGACAGTGAATATCACTAGTGCACGTCTTCCTATACTGTAGCATAAATTCAAATTAATACGCGCTAAGCTAGAATCCGAGATGCAAAAACTCGAAAATACTTCGCAGAGGTTATTTCGCCTTTGTGACGTCACAATAGTCCTGCGGTAACAATGATAATTCATTATGACGTAACAATTGCATAAAAAGTTCATGTCATACTAAACCTCTATTTTTATGGGTTTCGGAATTCTTAAAATAAAATCTGAGTTAACAGACAGGTGCGCAGCATTACATAAATACCTTTTTTATAAGAAACTCAAAATCGCCAAAAATGACTTACGCAATTCGGTTATTAGCGTGACGATATGTAACCACAATGACAGCATCAAAGGCGTATTCACGTAAAATAGCGCCAATGGCAAGTTTAAAAATTCGCCCCGTTGATTGTTGACTGACAGTCGTTGCCGAACACTTACAAATACGACAAACGAGTAAAAAAACGAGATTCAATTGTTTCCCAAGTTGAAATATTTTATTGAAACATTTTACAGTTGAAAGTTTAGCCTCTTCGTACCCCTATTCAAACGGCGCCATGGCTGCCATACCCTTGATACGCCACTGGGCAGTATGCATATTTTGTGATAGCTTATATGAAAATTGACCTTCGTCACCAATATACATCATGTAAAATAAATCGAGGTTGTACTATCTAGTTATATATACCACATGTTTATTTATAAACTACAAAGAAAACGAAGTGTAATTACGGCTTTCTAAAACATAACTGCCCTTTTATTGATTTTCTTTCCAGCTAGTGTGGATGGTATAATATCTATATATTATAAATGAAGACTAGATTCACCAATTATCAAAACTTGTCTTTGCTGCGCTCAATTGCATTATCCAGTCTATCGCCTTTTACATGTGAAGATGATTGATTGTCTACTCAAATATGTCTATACATGATCTATTTTGTCATTATTGAAACCGTGCTATTTATTGAAGAATCTGTTCAAAGGAATTAATTCATTTGATATAAATTTCCTATCTGATAGTGAGAAACTGTTGAACGAAATCCATCAAATATTTTTGCCTGTGTTTGTTGAACTACTCACAACCATTGGTCCATGTGTCACCAGATGGTACGACATTTATGTCGCTAAAACCCGTGTATATCATAAATTTTTTCAATTTAAAACTTATAGGGTATCTGTGTATAAACTTTAATAACTTAAGTATAATAAGTATAATCTGACTTCAGAAATTTCATATCTCACAGGATGTGGTATGAAAATCTGCACAAATGTCTGTCCGTATTGCCAACATTTCGTGACTCGATTGAATTCAATTGCCGAATGCGGAAATTGTATTCGTATACGCCAAAATTATCAGTTATTTCATTGCTTCGTGTTTTTGTTTTATGTTTTATTCGAAAAGCATCATAATAATCATAAATTCATCATTTTGCTCTCAGGCTAGACCTTCATCACAATGAACTGACAGAAGTTCCTAAAGCAATCCAGTACCTGAGAAATCTGAAGTTTTTAAACTTGGGAGGAAACCGTATTTCATATATTCACCAGACAGCCTTTTATTCAAATAGTGTTCTTGAAAAGTTGGTTTTAAGTCGAAATACTTTGACAAATATGCCGGATATGTTACCACCGACGTTAATCAAACTTAGCATCTCAAAGAACATGATAGAAAACGTCGGCGATCTGCGAACTCTGATAAACCTGAAAATTTTCAAGGCGGACGACAACAAATTAAGTGAACTCCCGACCTTGCCGAGTTCCGTGAAGGTTGTGAATATGTGCTGGAACAAAATCGCACGGCCGATATCGCTAAAAAATCTTCCAAATTTAAAGGCGGTCAGCATGAGCAATAATCCAGATATCGGAAATATTACGATTTCGACATTCTTTGATATGAATTCAAGGTCGCGGTCATCAAATCTAACAACATTTAAAGCGAGAAATGCAGGAATAAGGAGTATCGCAGCTGATGCATTTTCATGTTTGCGGCGTTTACAACATGTCGATATTTCCTACAATTCGATTTCAACTTATCAACCTCGCTGGTTTACTAGGAATAAAGGCCTGAGAGGTGTTTATTTAACAAGAAACCCATGGAGTTGCAATTGCGATATCAAGTCAAATTTATTGGATATATTGAACACGTTCACCGCTCGAAGAACTCTAAAGAATCCCCGAAACGAATCATTTTTCATAAACGATTTTCTTAACGAGACATGCTCAACAAAAGGTAATTTTATTAAGAAAACACAATTATTTAAGTTGATTAAGACAAATGGTCAAGTGGAGATGTCAGTTCGTTCAACATATTTCATAGCTCTATTGCAATTTTTGACATAAAAGAGTAAGATTTAACTATTTGAAAATGTACATATTTCAACTTTATACATATATTGTAATCGTTTGAAATTGAAAGTTCGCTTTAAAGTCGATTTGAATATTTTCACTTATCGGTATTATTTTATCTAAAATTGACAGTATGTATACTTACCGGTACTGTAATTCAAATATGCGATATCAGGAATCTAAGGAATGCTAAGACACAGAATGTCCTTTCCCAATCATTCCAATCTTGGATTTTACCAAATCCAATATCTCCATAATGAATTAGAGTTAAAATCACCGTTATATCTCAAATTAGGATGGAGTATGTATTCCATATCAAAACTATGCGAGCAAAATTCATTTGGAGTAGAATTATATATCTCATAATATTATATATACCAATAATACCCAGCATTGTCCGCGTTGCTTTCGGCTTTTGATTGATATATAAATTCTGTAATTTTGTATGACAATATTTTTCTGCAACCGACAGGTGGTTCAAGCTGTGAAAAGTTCAGACTGGAGAATGAAGAATGCATGAGACCTGGTAAAGTATAATAGTATATTATTTATCGAGTTTATCAATAGCGCAATTGGTGAAAATATGCGACCATTTGCTCCCATATTGTAAATGTAATATCTTTTTAAAACTATAAAAGCATTAGACAAAAGAGTGACCGTAGAACTAAGTCACTAACTTTTCGACAAATGCACTGTTTAGTCTAGAATAGTACTATGTCAACTTCGCTTTTATTCACCTTCCATCAAACATTTCGAGTAACGGTTCCAAACAAAGCGCGTGGTTCGTTCCGGTTTAATGAAGCTGTTTGTGTTTATTATATTGCATATACTTGAAATTTTTTGTTGATATTTCGATTCGAAGGAACAATACCTTAAATCCGTAATTTTATAATTCATTTGAATTTGAATGAACGACTTGACACAATGGCTGTGCATCGGCATGGTCGATCTTGACAAATCTAATTTTGGCTTATAATTCAGAACCACCCCCGGGTGATATTGTGGATTTGCCAATTTCTCACCAAGTTTCGCTTGACACAATAACGACCGCACGTAAAGTACCAATAACCAATACGACGACAACAACAAGTACGACTACGACAACAAGTACGGCTTCAACTACAAAGCGATTAATTACAAGCGCAAAAACTACAATTTCGGGACCGACTCCGCTTCTCAAACATACTACGACTGACAGACTCAGAACAACAAAGACTGCTAATAGTATACCACATAACTCGACTAGAACAACAACAACAACCACTGCGGCAACTCCGACCGAGATTCAAACAACTACAAGAAAACCTTCTACGACCACAACGCAAACAACCAGTAATGTACCAGCTACAACAACTAGCATACGAATCACAACTACGTCGGAGGCAAGCTCAATTACTACAACTTCTAAGGTAGTGGTTCCTTCACTGAATACAATTAAAGTATCTACGGCTACCACAACAACACGAACTACCACAACAACACCATCAGGTAGGGTTCTACGATTGAATTAAATTTAATGATGATTTGATTACCAGTGCTCCCTAACATTATTTTTTACATTCTACAGAAGAATGGTGTCTGAGAGACGGAAGAAAATGTCATTTTCCGTTTATATACAAGGGTAAAGAATATTACGAGTGTGTCCCGTCTTATAGACCATGGTGTTCGCCAACACGGGATTATGATACTGATGGCGAATGGGACAGATGCGTCATATGCGAATGAAAGCATTACAGTGCATAGCGCTATGCATCGTCTCTAAGCGTCGTTGTAAACGTATTACATTTGATAACATCGATGATTTATTTAAATATTTATTGAAACACACCAATATCGATCGTCTTCCTCTATTCATATCACATACTTGTTGACTAAATGAATTTAATTAGTTCCAATGACTCTTTAAGAGATGTGGGTGAAATGCTATTGGTGTACCAAATGAATGATGCATTTTGAATAAATCCAATACGCCCGGTCTGGTATATATATATCTTTTGGCTCGTGTGGGTAATGATGCATCATATTTAAGTTTTATTTCATATTGGCCTGGTTGAGCATAGGTGCCTCTCGTATGGTAGACCTCTAACGTGTACCAAGAAATGAAATGTAAAGGTACATGTTAGTTAAAAAGCTCACATTCATTGTCTTCCTTTATTTATATTTTAGCCTTATCTGTGTAAGATTACTTATTTTATCTCACACAATTATCAGCATTCTTGTTTTTAGTTTTGTCTATGTATTCGTAATTATTAAAAAAAAACTTATATCATTTTGAAGGGTTCCGTTGTCCCACAAGGTACAAATCGCATAGTATAATCTGCTTTGTGAGTTCTTTATAAAAAAGCACCAAGTTTCCAGGACAAACACTGCTACTTTATTACACGAGTCAAACACATCAAAATTAAGACACCATAGCAGTAGCAGATCAAGCAGCAACTTTTACAATACACGTGCAAAGAGCGAAAATATGCCTCAGAAAAGGTCAAAACAGTAAGGGTCAATGATACCACCTAGTGGTATTACATCATATATATATATCACACAATAATATTCAACAAATCGAAAAATCACTAGACTAAGAGAGGGACACGTAGCGCCACCTGATGGCAAAAATTTTGATTACGTCATAGCAAAAAAAAAGTAATAGCCTTCTGAAGAAAAATTTTATCTTTAACCACTGAAAATTTCAAAGCAATTGGTCCAGTAATCAAAGAGAAAAGCAACTTTTTAGGTTTTCCACTAGATGTCCAAAAACGTGTCAAAGAACAAGAACAACAACATAATATTGAAATGATCCATATGTCCATTACGTGTCCAATAAGAACAACATAACAACAAAACGATCACTATGTCCACTACTTGTCCAATAATGTATAATGTAGTTGATTTGGATATAGATTGGGAGATAACGCTAGGATTATGAAACATGTAAGCCAGCCACCACCCAAATAATTAGTGAGGGAACGAAACTAGCCATAAATTAGTTTATTCTTAAACACATGGTATTATACAAACTATGCTATCATTTATAGCGATATGTTAAAAAGTAAAAACAAGCATACTCTACTAAGACACATACGTTTACATAGTAATGGCAAACGGAGTGAAAGCCAAAGACATATATTTTTATTAGTGAGGATACGAATTATTTGTACAAGTTTTACACCTATAATGAATGTAAATGGACTGGATTTCTAATAGTGGGACCAACTAAACAAATCAGAATTTGTTATCAGAACAAAAATCGGTACTTCCGTAGTATATGTACCAGGTAAGAGTTAGGGCATGGTTTTATTCCGATTTTCCTTATATTAGTTCTATCTAGGGCTGGGCATTTTCGAAACACTGGTGTTTCGAAATCGAAACGAAATTTTGCCTTCGAAACGAAATCGAAACGAAGCACGTTTGTCATAAACAGTAAAATATGATCCCATTATTACCAACCAAACAGTGTTTCGAAACGCCCAGCCCTAGTTCTATCACGAGTTCGGGACTTTCTGTGTTAGCCAGGTGAATATACTCCCATAGGTTTTGTTTCAGTCCCTTTACACAACTCGATTTAAAATAGGCGTACAAAATTAGTTACCCCCATATTGGTACACATACTTCAGGAGCGCCCAAATATCATCAGCCAAGTCTATTCATGCAAATTTTGGAATAATTTGTAGTCGTGTATAAATGTGTCGAAGACTGAGCATAAGCTCAATGAAGAGGCATTGAGATATGTTTTAAGGATGGATATGAAAGAGCTCTTGGGTTAGCATATTACCTTCGACCGTTTGGCTAAATATAGAAAATGTAGTTCATTTTATACCACTGTATTAGGAACAATTTAATTATAGACATTTAATAGTAGTAATCAAATCTCAAATTCAAGGCTACCTCACTTTATACACTAACAGACAAACAGACAAAAATATAAAAAATATGCATTTATGAAATAATGATAATATTACACAATAATACATACCGGATTCAGGATTTGACGCTTCTCCTGAAATTTATTAAACAAAAAGTGCATTTGTATAGGCTACATATCTAGCTACAGAGCAAGTATCATAAAATGAAATTCAGGACGATTCACTCTAATAGGAGAATAATAAGAAGAGAACAATACACTTTGGTAAATGTACTGAAAGATTGTAAGATAAATAAATATTCAATAATTCTTAAAACCATGGCGGGGAAAACACTACAGATTAACCATAGAGTTATTTCCTACTTACCCAATAATATCAAATGTGACAAAATTTGATAATAAACTATTACTTTGTTCAGTGCAGTACACGGATAAAAATGACATGTGAATCAAATTTGCATTTGAAGAAATAACTGCAACACAAATTAGGAAATAATACATAATATATGTGTAGAGAGTTTATGAAGAAGAAATAAATAATATATGTACAGGTCTTGTAATCCAGATTTTGTTACTTCGTTCACTGCAAACTTAACTTTCATGTTTCTTCAACACCGGCATATACATCTTTCAAAAACATAATCTGCATGTCGTGGCTTACATTACTGACTCAGACATCTATCAAATATATTTTGTCAACACTGGATGTAGGTCTTTGTTGGAGGAAAAAAACCTTATTAAAGTCCTAACTCTCACTTTTATCCTGGGTAAGGACAACGAAGTGATTTCTATTCCGACTGCCGAAATACATTAAATTATGTAATTATTATTACTTATCGATCTTAAGATCGGTAAGTATGTTGATAGGTATTTGTCTGTTTGTTTGTTTGTTTGTCTGTTAGATACACGCGATATCTCACGAAAGGGAGGTTGAATCTGCTCCAAATTTTGCATGTGCATTCATCATAGATCGGAACAGAAGCCTGTTGATTTTCGATGAATTATGTCGTATAATTAGCGAGTTATTCATTAATTAGGGATGGGACACAAGGTGTCACTATGGAGTAAGAGCGCTGTTTTAGGGATCCCCTAACCTCCGATCGATAAGTCTTCGGTCTCCGACCGATATTCTCGTTTATCAGTTGTTGTAACAGTTTATTTATTATAATCAAAATTATGGCTTTAAGAAACTAAAAACGTATCTTAACCTAAACACAAGAACATTCAACATAATTACATTGAGCCATTAAATATAGACAAATTTAATCGGACCACCGTCTAATACTTATAAAAGCTAATAACTAATGCGGTAAGGCGAATGCAGTCTGTTGTCGCTCGACGATAATCAGTGATCACAACATAAAGAACAATAATGTAATAATGACGGAATATAAACAAAGGATCACAAAATGTAGCACACTGCAACAGGAATAACTGAACTGAATTCTCATAACATCAGTAAAACGTTAAAGCCAGCTATTATATATTGTTTTGATTTGTATTTTTGAGAATTCGACAAATCTGAGCTGTCCGTACAACACTTACTGCGATTCAGTACTGTACGTACCAATGTCTGAATGTGGAGGCAGTGAAGCAAAGTGACCTGGCGCGTCGTCTGTTAGCAAATTTTCAAATAGTAAATTGCTATTCTAATAGTTGAATATTCGAATATATGCCCAGTCCTACTCAGTAACCAGTAATTATTAACTCGATTAATGTTATGTGGATAAACTTGCTTTTTATGTTTTATGTAAATTCTAACATAAATCGTAACTTGAAGTGAATTTCTGCCTCGTTGCGGACTCATTCAGACGCTCCGCGGACTCATTTGAGACCGCGGACTCGGGTTGGGAAACACTGGCATAGGACATACTTGGATCGAAAAATGCAGATTTTAACACCATGTTCTACTAGTCTTCATTATATCGGAATATTTTGATCAAAAAACTGAATGAAATTTATTCGAAGAGCGACACAAAAATTAATATAACGTTCCCATATCACTCATGATTGAACAACGTTTATGTAATGCATGAGAGAAGAAAACGGGATATGACCACGAAACGTTCGATCGTGCTGATGACGTATGCTTTAATTGTTTTCAACGGCTGATCTTCTAAACCTGCTAAAACGTTCGGTTTGCGCAACTGAAATCTTGGTATGGTTGAATTGTAAAGTAATTGGGCAATATTATTAGTAATCCGATAAAGAAATTTCAGTCTAAATAAATAATTAGTAATCCATAAAACATGTGAGAAACAATCATCAATAATTGAATGAAAAGATTTTCGAATATTCAAGAACAAAATCACTACAGAGGTATCGCTCTCTCGACATAACGTTAGAAGATTTACTGATTGAACAAATTGTTATGAATGTATTAATAATAATTAGCGCATGTGTTTCCTAATATATATTGTCTCGTTTATCCTCTGGAACTGTCAGTCCTAGAACAAGATTGAAGTTCCGGCAGCAAATTTTGTATGAATTTCTGTGCTTAAATCGGGTATTTATCCTCACATCATGTAATTAGAATGTATAAGAAAATGAATTTTGGAAACGAAACGGTTACTGCATATTCGGTGCTGAACAATGGCAGTCTGAATTCCAATGAATCCGCTACTAACAATACGTTTATGAATTCAACAGCCGCTTCAAATCAAACGTTCAACTTTATCCGTGAAGATTCGAACGATTATGTGGTCAATGTAATACTGACGTTATCGCAAGTAGTGGGAGCAATTCTTATTTCACTATCCTGCTCGATGTTAGCCAGTTTTGTAGTCTACTGTATTCAGAATGGGAAATGGAAAAGCAAGCGAAGGACAAAATTTTTCAATGGAAGACTTATATATATTCTCTATGCGATAGTTATAGGATTCTTCATCCAGAAATTGCTGATCACGCAAGTTTACATCCAGGCACCTCGGGGTGCAAACTCTTCAACTTTATGCAATGCAATCGATGCTGCGGCAAAGCTTTATTACTCGATCACTATATACCTCGTGTATTTCTTCTTATGGGTGAGACAAAGAGTAATTTATGACAGCACTACTGCAGGAAAAATTGTTACTCGCCTAAGTTGGGGAATATTTGCGATGCTTCCTTCAGAAATAATTCAAATTATAATTAAGCTGATTATATTTGATCGTCCATATCCGATGCCACAAGGTTGTATACATATTAAGAACAATTCCAAATTTCTACATTTTTTCATGCACCTACCGTTGGTCTTAGCCCAATTCACCCTTCTTGGGCTACTCGTCTACCCACTTGTGAAGAACACGATGGAATACAAATCAAGGTATCATGACTCAAAAAGTATCATAGTTCTGTGCATTACAGGTACTTCGAAGTCTAGTAAAATACAAAATGTAATTCGACGTGTGACGATCTGGACATTCGTTGCTGTTATCACAGACATCCTCTTTGCTGTGATAAATTTCCGCTTGATTCCAGAACACTTTCCCATTTCAGTTAGAGCGACAGCGGCAGACGTGATGATTTTTGGTAACATCATTTGCATATATATGACACTCAAAGACAGATGGCAAATATTGAGAGTTTTCTTCCCGAAGAAACAAAATAAGATTGTTGTTGTTGATATTTCTACCAAGTTAACTAAACTTCCGCAGACGAAAGACTCTTGTTCTTATACAAGCAGACATGTCGGTGTGTGTTGGGGAGGAAATATGTAGGATTTTCTTTATTATATCATGAGGCATTCTTACACGTTTTAGCAAGTTATAGGACGAACAGCACCTGATTTGCTATGCAGTTATAATATCTGTAAGCACCCGAATCGTTTTGAATGGTTTCGCAATGTGCGTTCCAATTTTTCATGCATCACTATTTTTGATAATTGAGTGAAAGTATTATCTTTAAACAAAATAATATGTGATATATACTTATTATTGACAATACACTTGGTTGGGCAATACACACTAAGATTTTGTGTATGTTTATTTTATTTCTGTATATACATATATTTTTGTATATTTAATGCTTGAACTCCGACTTCTATTGTAACGAACCTTTCAATTTATCCCCACCCTATTAAGGCAACTCGATTCCGACGGCCGTTGCGAACTGTATATAGTGTGTAGCTCGCAATTTATCGCCTCGTTATTAATCGCCTTGTATTTTATTACATTAATCGTCTTGTATTGTATTACTTTTTCCATTAATATTATCCATGATGAAACATCAAAACACCTTGCTATAAAAATTTAAATAATATAAAACCATACAAATAAAAAATATTCTGTAGTATCAGTTTTCTTTTGTGTGTATTTACTTGTAATTACTTGTTATTATTCAATGTATTGTTTTTAGATATCATGAGTTCTTTTACGTTATACAGAATTTGATTCAGGTTCAATCTCAAGGGTTCAATAGTTCAATAATTCGTCAAATCACTCATTATTCAAATTACAGGATTTTTCTTGCTTATTATTTTGTTTCAAATAATCTCTAACATCAATTTTACAATCTTGAACACCAAACCAATTTCAACGTAATTCTTAAGTACTAAATCCGCCATTTTGTTTATTCTCGGTCTCCTCCTTTAAACATCAAAGCTGTTTTATATTCTAATCTAGAGTGTCACTTTTTGCCATTTTGTTTTACTATTTCGTTACAATTTCATTTTCAAATGTTAAGCATTTCAAAGCAACACGGAGAACCTTCGATTTTTTTACTTTCATCTCTCGGCGGCCAGACTACAAAATTTAAAAAATTACTAAGTTAATTTTTTGTTACTGTCGAGGGGGAATTGTGTAGCGAATGTGCATTGTGTAACTGTGGATTATAATGTTTAACCCTTTCATATTAATAGCATGTAACATTTCACGAAATAGGCCACTTTATGTTTCGCAACAGCGATAAAGCATTCGTTCCATGTATTGCCGTTCTCTTATCGACCAATTTGATGACGTATCGTTTCCGGCCTGCGCCGAGAGATCTGCATTATATTGTGATTGTGAATTTACTTCTGATTATGATTTTACTGCATTGAGACATTAAGTGTTACAAGTTTATCTGTATTCAGATTTTGGATTGTGCATCTTTCAATAATACAACAACAATTTGGCATTCAACATTGTGTGCTTATTAACGTCTGAAGGAATCCAGATTGGAGTCACATTCCGTAACGCGTGTCAATTTAATAAGGCGAGAATCGAACTTTACATACATAGGATTGATAGTCTTTATCCCTAAGACTCTCTTTCTCCCTATAATATTAATAATTGAAATATACTGGGTTTGTTGATGTAATATTCCGAGCACTGTATGTTGAAGATCCCGAATTCAAATAACAACTCCCGTCCTAACCAGGGCGTAATAAATTATGGGTAAATATTTAAACCCATCGTTGCACTCCCGTTAAGTATGGCCACCAGGTCTATCTGTGACTTTCCCAATCTCCTCTTATCAATCCCACGGATCCACACAATGTGTGATTGAAGGATGTTATGACTAATCGATTCGTTGAACATACGTGGGGCTATACGGCATACCAATGAGACCCAACTCATCTTAAACATTTCTACCGTATAAATTTCTAATTATAATCGAAATCCGATAAGACATAGGCGAGGCATGAAAACCGTTCGAGAGCTTGGACAAAGACAATATAAGTTTCGGTATGGCTTGCGCTGTATGTAGAGGCCGCCTTAACCCTTTCGTTATTTTTGTTGTTCCTCATCAAGAAATACATTTGTTTTGATTGGTTGGAGGACATACCTACTAACCCATCAAACTGCGCGTTCCCAGCCTACTACTACATGTAACACGAGCACTATTTAGCAGTATAAATTTTAGTGAAGTATTTCACTTTCTTTATTTCGCTAAGAGGTCGTACGATTCATAAAGGATCGCTTACAGCAGTTTATTTAAACAACTAAATAGACGAGACAATACAAGCATTTAGCCACACACTGCTTAGAGTTAAAAATAATTGTATTTTTTTTAGGTATTTTTCAATTTCGTAGATTATTTGCGTAATTCATTGAAAATGCCCCTTATACCCAACTTCAAAAATAATAATAGGGATGAACAAATATAGTTGTTTTGGTATACATGAGAATGAATCAATTAAAGGTCGAGTAGGAATGAAATGTTTGTATTAATATTATTTCGATCATCCAACCAAGCAACAAACTCACCCCTATAACGTGCTGCCCAGGGCGGCTGCTCCTATGACCCCCACCTAAACACTCATCTCATGTTACGCGCAACTTTAGAATTTGCTTTTTTCTCAATCCGCTGCTTTTGACGATAATTTAATGTCTCACACGTAGAACAGACCAAGTTGTATTCAATACGGAAAGTCGGACTTATGATTTTTACTGTAGCGAGTATACGAATAGTTACTGTGCGTTTCAATATTCATCACCACGTATTGCTAATCAGTGCATATTATTTTGCCTGAAACAAGGTCGTTGCTCTGATTCATTTCCTTTATGATATTTTTCTCTCGCTCAAGTATTTGTTCTTTGTTAGTTAGAAATTTGATTTCATCACATATACTTGTATTAAGAGATAAGTATATTTCAATATATCTGTATTTTGATTGAATTGTGGAACTTTGCAATATACTAACATTCGGCATTCAATCTATTGTGTGCTTATTGACCTCTGAAGGAGTCCAAATCGGGGTTACACTCCACAACGTGTGTCAATTACATAACGCGGGAGCACAAACGCGCAGATAGGGTCGTTCTCTTTCCCTATAATACAAAGCACAGGAAAATAGAATGCATTTGGCGCCTGACAGAAAAATATCTTCAATCGCTTATGTAATTGGTGTAAATCGTTATAAAATCTCGTGCGGTTGTTTTAATACAATGGCAATTCTTGTATGTCGAATAAGACAAGTAGTTTGCAGCGGGACATGGGTTGACAGAGACGATTTCTACAAAATGGTGTACTAGTCTTCGACCCTGTATTCCTAAAAAGACGGGTAAATGGTTTGCCAGAATGTGGAGTAGAGGGAAATTGCATAAAACTTTTATTTGGAGTTTATGCGTAAAAGTTTTGGAATCGGTCCGACGAAAATTTCGAATCACCGCCATCTTGTTTTTTTTTTTCGTTTAACATAGATCAAGGTGCATCCGTCGTTTTTTTTTTGCTGAGGCATATTTTTTACAATACTAACTGATGATGGCGTTATCAAGACGTCATCATTTTCAGTTTATATATATATAAGATATTGCCATCGTAAATAGTCGTGAAGGAAAGGGTTAACTTACCCTCGGTTAGGTCAGCGTTGTTTTTCTATAGACCAAAGTTACTATAAAAATACAAGAAAACTAGAACTAACAAGTGTGAAACTGAAATTAAATTGCATATCGCTACCTTTGTCTTAACTAGAAAGATTTTGGTAAAAACCTGTAATTCGTTTCATGCAAGTGTATAGAGTCCGCCTCTTGATTAATGAAGCTACCAATGATCATTGTTGAGTAGTAGGGCGAATTGGGCTAAGACCAACGAATGGTACATGAAAAGATACCAGTGCCTAATATTGTTTTTCAATGGTTACACGCCCCTGTGATATCGGCTCTTGACGATCAACTATGATAAACATATTGATAACCAGAATCACTTGTGAGGAACGCATCGCAAATATTCCCCAACTCGGGAAATTGATATGTTTTCCTGTAGTTATTTTTTCATAAATTACTATTTGTCTTACCCACAAAAAGGAATAAACAATATATGTAGTGATCGAGTAATAAATTTTCGTCGCAGTACCGACTGTCTTGCATAAAAATGAAGAGTTTGCGCCCTGGGGTGCCTAGATGTAAACTTGCGTGATCATCAACTTTTGAATGAAGAGTCCCAGAACTAATGTATAAAGAATATGCAAAAGTCTCCCATTGAAAATTTTTGTTTTTTGCCTGCTCTTTCTTTTCCCATTCTGGGTACATTAGGGACAACAAAACTCGCTAACATCAAGCAGGATAGGGAAATAATAATTGCTCCAACTGCTTGTGATACCAGCAGTATTACTTTGGCCACATATTCGTTCGAATCTCCATCGCTGAAGTCGAACGTTTGATTTATGCGACTGTTGAATTCTCTTTCATAAACGTATTATTAGTAGGAGATTCACTGAAATTCAGACTACCATTGTTCAGCAGCTGATTGGTTTTAACCGTTTTGTTTTCAAAATTCCTTTTCTTATTATGTATACTTATTGTTCAAATGAACAAAAGATTGATACCAGATTTAAACACAGAATATACTATACCTAATTCGTTACTCTAACTTCAATCTCGTGCAAGGACTGGCATTGCTAAAGAATTAACGACAAGACAATATAGACCAGTGGTTCTCAAACTTTTTTAGTCCCAGAGCCAAATTTCAAACCTCAAAGTTGTGAAGAGCCGCACACAAACAACGCAAGTTTAAATAGCAACAAAACTTGAGCACGTATTTAAAATACCACGTCATCTTAACAACAACACACGTAACAACCAGGACTGGGCAAAATATTCGAATAACGAATCGAATAATAAAATATTAGAATGGCATTTTACTATTCGAATATCCGGTACCACGTGACTTGCGCCGCTCTGCTTGGACATCGAACTCGCGCGTCTCCAACTCAATCGTGAATTGTGCGAGATTTCCTCACGGCGCTCGCTATCTTATATGCTTATCTTTGCACTTACCGTATCGTTTCAATTCCATATTTCAAAGAAGAAGAAAAACGTACCGACCGTTCCATAAAGTTAGAAACGTCAAACCAGATTAGGTATTTAAAATAAATTTCCCAGATTTTAAACTCTGCATGATTGGTAACATGTCATTAGCCATTTCTTGCATGACTCGAACATAAAATTGATTAAAATTAAATGTTAAAATGACTTTTCGGCGTTTCATTGTGAAAAAGGCGATTTTAGGTCGTTAGAAAACTCGAGTTATATAAATAGCATGAATTTAAAAATGACCATTCAAAGTTTTTCCAAAAGTTGGTATGAGTTACTTGTAACCAGATAAGAAATGTCATGTCCTACTCCCTTTATAGCACTTTGTATTAGCTCTTTATAGTCCGGCAGATAAGGGGACCTTTTTGGCCCAAGTTTGATTCCAGACATAAAGTTTTTTTTTATTTGTGATTATTCATCTTGGGGTCATTACCCATAATTTCTACATGGGTGTGGAGTTTGCAGCCTTGAGCAATTTATTTTACGGCTCGATATTTGTATTAGTGTTTTTCGTCAAACCTGTGCATCATAATGACGCACAACCTGAACCATCCCCTGTTACAATACTATGTTCAGGTTGTGCGCAATCTTGGTGCACAAACTAAGCAAGCACCAAATTTACTAGGAAATAAAATTAATAACTTTTAGGTATTTATTGAGATATTTGTATTAGTGTTTTTCGTCAAACATGTGCATCATAATGACGCACAACCTGAACCATAACATATTACAATACTATGTTCTGGTTGTGCGCAATCTTGGTGCACAAACTACGCAAGCACCAAATTTACTAGGATACTAGGTATTTGTTGAGCCAAGCTTTGGGTCGCGACCCATATACAGCAAATGAAAATACTGTCGAAACATACGCGTAAAATAGAGAGTACTATTTCAAAATACCCGTTTTTGTTGCAATTACCAATATAAGCCTGCTAATGCAGTCGCCAGGGGTTCAAGTGCATATACACCCGGTAGACAACAGTTCATTATTTGTTAGCGAGAATTGTTATGCAGCGGGATGATCACGACGACGCAGTGAAAGATAATGATATCACAAGAACAAGAATGAGAAAATTGCTACATTTTATAGTATATCCCTGGGATAAAATGTAGTTCATTCTTATGTTCCATGCCAATGCTTTTCAAACTACCAAACCTCTCAACACTTTTGCTTCTTCCCTTCCATAAAAATACATTGTTATTATATATTCGCATTTCCATCTGTTTGTTCGTGCTCCCAGATAACCGATCAGCGGCCTCCAAAGAGGACGGGGTCCCCTTTTGAGAAACCCTGTCATAAACTAATATAAATACGAAAACGTATTTTTAATTTTTTATGATATAATATTATTATTATTCTCAACAATGAATTATATACG